TTTAGATACTGACTGACCATTACCACAGTTGTTAAGTTTATTTCCTCTTCAATAACTGAGGTATAACTATTTTTTAAATAGTGTGCAATGGTGAACAAAATGCCAGAGGGAAGTAAACAGGACCATAGAAATAAAACAGAGAATCTACAGGTGCCATTGACTAACACTGACTAGCTCAGCCGGCTAACAAGTTAGCATTTAGCTCGTCAGCTACAGAAGTTAGTCACAATGTCACCAAGCTTCTACAGCCAAATATTATGGAAATAACGTTACATGCAGATTATTTTTTTCTTACAACTTTCCGATGTTGCTAAGTTGTAAAAGAGGAGTTTGTGTCACAAATACGTCTTCTGAATTAACTGTTAACTTCTTGTGTTGTTAGCAACAAGCTAAAGAGTTTGCTAGCTGACCGTTAGCATGGTTGTTAGCTTGGAGATCTTTATTTTCACTATTCAGTAACTTTTATTTTAAACCAAACAGTGTCTAATGGTAAATAAAATGCCAATTGGAAGTGAACAGACCCATAGAGAGGAAATAGAGAGATTCATACAAGGGCTAACGTTAGCCCGGCCGGCTAGCTAGTTAGCAGTTAGCTCGTTAGCTACAACCCGTGTTAAGCTCGTTTATCAAAAATAATAATAATTTATTCGTCATTACTATGTTCCAGTGTGTTATTGCTTTACTTATTACTCCCCGCCGACAGCAATTCATCACTTGTCATCACTGTTTTCTCCCCAAAATTCAGACTTCACTCACCTGTGGTGGCGTGTATTTCCTGGAGCTACACGATGTTACGCTGCCTAGTGTTCGTAGTAGGTGTTTCTGACCGCAGGTGTGAGGACGTGTTCATTGCAATTTAAAGAGTCTATCTGCTGACAGACAGCATTTCCATATTTAAAGTTATCTTGCTAATTCTTGACATGTTTGCAGACTATTAAAGTGAATTCAGGGATGTGATTAACTGTTGGATTTCAAATTAGTAGTGGGATGACAGGAAAAGTAAGGACTTATTTGGTATGGGTTTTACATAATACAATTTTTTTTAAAAAATGACACAAATAGGAAAATCATCTTCAAATAGCCACTGTCATTTTACACTCTTCATGTTATTATAATCAAGAGAGACAGAAGAACGAAGTAAAGATCATATTTAATACAGAATATGAGTGAACAGATGAAGAGATTATTTGTGCTGATTAAGACTAAGCAGAAGTCTTTGGTGTTTGGACATCAGAGGGAGATATATTGTGATCGAGGGACATCTGAGCAGCAGCAGGATAAGTCCAGACACTGGAGGTGGTGGCTGATGACTCTGAGGCCGCTGAGGCCTATGAGGCTGATGAATCTGTAACGACTAGGTGGTGATAGGGATGTGGAGGGTGCGCATGACTGCAGCAAGAAAGAACTACAGCAGAGAAAAAAACATGTTTAAAATGAGGAGCAGTGAGATGATAGGCTGTTACTTGTTCATTTTATCAATTAAAAACAAAAAGTGCAACAACTTGGAAAACCAAGATACTGTTGGCCAAACCAGTTCTAACCCGGTCAGCCATTGTTATCAATATTATGTTGATGACTACGTCTCCATTGATAGAAGTTGGGCAGTAATTTGTGTACAACTGTTTAATGAGACACAAATAATAAACAGTTTTTTACTTCAGCTTTGACTACTGATGATCCTCGGGGCAGCCATCTTAGATTTTGTGGTCGGGGTTGGAGAGGTTCCTCCGACTTACCGCAGGGGCGTTCCAGTTGAAATTTCTCACTGGGAACTTAGAAACTTTCAGTGCAAATGGTCATGCATTCAGTTGCTCCTCAGATGGTCCAATTTTCCACGTTGGGAAGTTGTTCTTCTGACTTTGGTGTGTGGTCATAAGCTTTAAGTCATAATGTGGAAACAACATGGACGCTACAGAGAAGATAGGTTGTATTTTATTGCTTAGAGCGCTCAAAGAACACGTTGATTACAGTTTGATGCTTTATACTATGAAAATATATCGTGTAAGCCTATATTACAAATTGATTTTTGTCGCAGACTTGTTTGTGCATCGGTAGCCTACATCGCCTAAAACTACCAAGAAATATTGCTTTCAACTATTTCAACTAATTTGAGTCACTCTATATGGACAGCAACCTATGGTTACAACCTAATACAGTATTAGCCTGTAAACGATGTAAGCAAAAAACTGACATGAAATATGTATTAAGAAAAAGTTCATTACCTTCAACTGAACATTTTCTGTTGTACGCCCTATTTCTGCATATATGATATCAACTCGGCAAGTCGTGCACCAAAATTTTCACCGACTTTCCGAGTTAAGGGGGCATTCATGCAGAATATTCGCAGTCAGGAGTTCATTTCTCTGATTGGAACGCACCAGCTGGCTACAACAGTATACAGTGAGATGTACTTTAAGATAAATACCGATACAACTGCGTGACAACTTGCTGTCTTGAACTCCATTTTACTTTCATCTCCTCATCATCTGGAGGCCCCTTGGCCGCATGTTCATGCTCAGTGTCCAGTGAATGGCTTACGTTTAAACAGAAAAACCTTCTGTAAGTTCAACCCGCAGTAAGTTATCACTGACGTACAGTATGTGCGCACGTGCAAATGTTTCATGTGCACCTCAGGGCTGTCGGGTCGTCCGCCGCTTAACTCCATCACTTTCCCTTTTTTTTCTCTCCGCATCGCCCTCAGCTCTGCAGGTTAGGACTAATGTAATCACAGAGCCCTGCAGACGAGGCCAGCGCGGGAGACAGAAGCCGGGCCAGACTTACAGGTATTCTAAACTGGTTACATTAGACCAAACAGGCCATCTGTCTCCCACTGTAATTGGACACTGTGGATTAGAAGGAGACGGCGGCGTTTTCCCAGCCAAGTGGGCTAGTTACTGTTTATTTGGAATTAATTACCAAGGAGAGTGGAAACCTCGCAGTTCCCAAAGAGTGAATCCAGACACTTGAGGCCAGGATGAGAGGAAGGAGAGTGCCATACCAGAGCTATGGCAACAGAGCTGGGACAGTTCAGAGCGGTGCTCTCTCAGAATAGCTGACGTTTATTATGTTTGAAGCTCAGATGATGATGCAGCCGGTGTGTCAGAGTTAGTTAGATAAGGACAAAAGCTTTTTACAAACGCTGCCCTCCTTCTCCGATTCGGTCACCCTAAACTGAGGCAGCTAATGAATGGATGTGTTCAGCGGTGGTAACGGGTATCCTGGTGTGATGCCATTAGCTGCTCTCATGCTGTGGGTGCTTTCCAAAAGTTGAGAGAAAGGACAAGAGTATATATCTCTTAAAGAACTGTGAGAATGGAGCATCCACCCTGGCACCAGCACTTCACCTCTCACAGGGATCACTGTGTGCACCACTAGAAATGTTGCGCAGACATGTTTTGATGTGTTTTGACAAGCTGGGGGTGAAAAAATGAATCCATGAACACAGAGTCTGTTTAAAAGCTGCTCTTTTTATTGTATCTACTTTTTAAAAAAAAGGGGGGGCTGGTGAAGGGCTGCATCACTGCATTTTTTTCACTATGCTAATGTTCAGTTTGCATGCAGTGAAATAAATGTACAAGTGAGACAACGCAATAAATTAGCATATAATTTACATTTGAAAAAAAAAAAATTAGTAACAGTGTACCAACATTAATACTGAATATAAAATATACGCAACTAATCACATGATGCTTTTCATTTCTCTTGCACTTTTAGGTAAGCAATGTGACATTCAAACATCCAAGTTCACAGCAATGAGTACCAGTTTGAGTGATTTCACTTCTCTTTTTTCTGGAGGCTCCGTAATCCTGCAGCCAGCAGACGAGTTAGTCCAAGCAGTTTGAATTTCAAATGCCTCTCAGCGTCCACTGGCTGTCCTTTCCCCACGGCCTCATTCAAGGTTTGGTAACCGCTAAAATCTGCTCGACATTGTCATACTGAAGGTGGCTACAAAAAAGTAGCAGCAGCAAAATTAGAAATTAGTTGTTAACAGCTTCGATGAGATTCTTGCACACTCCATAATTGTCTCTCGGATTTCTCAGACTCCCACTGTACCTCCATAACAAGCGTATGACGGAGACGTTCCCTTTCACAACCCTTACCCCAGCAGGAATGTCACCTGGGTAAGTCAGTTACAACCGGGTGAGTGATCCATTTTTTTTGTTGGTAGCACAAACAACAATACACGGTTAACAATGAAAATTCCCAGTGTGAGGTATAAACAGATACAAACAAAAACAATAACATGACCAGCATTTACCAACAGAGATATTGACAAGGATATTATTTCATATTTGTTTGGATCCAGCCTCACGTTTAAGCACACTGGAGGGTTGAATGGAAGCACCCACTTGATAGCACCAGAAGCCTGGGAAGGCCGTAACCCTCGGAGCAGAGCGGGAGGAAAAGAAGAGGTAAACACAGTACTCCATGGAAAATAAAAAAAAATAAAAAAAATAAAAGAAGGGAAAGCACCATTGAGTTGGCTGAGTTTGTCTTTTCGCTGAGGGACAAAGATGATGAGAGGAAAGAGGACGAAGGGGTAATTTTATCTGGAGGGGGTGTCTGAAGCCCAAATACGTGGTCTGGCAACAAGTCCGTAATGAATGTGATGTGTGTGTATATTTAGCACCGGCCCCTTGGAGAAATAGCTGGACACACTGCAGAAAGTTAGACAAGGACATTGATACCATTTTAATGTTTGTACACTTCATAAGAAACTAGTCAGGAGACAGTTAGCTTAGTTTAGCATAAAGACTGGAAACATGAGGAAACAGCTAGCCTGGCAGCGCTCCATCCACTTTCAACTGCTTATCTGAAACCAGGTCGCAGGGGCAGCAGACCGAGCAAAGCATTCCAGACGTCCCTTTCCCTAGAGACGCTTTCCAGCTCCTCCTGGGGGACCCCAAATGTTCCCAGGCCAGATGAGATATGTAATCCCTCCAGACTGTTCTGGGTCTGCCCCGGGGCCTCCTACCAGTGGGACGTGCCTGAAACACCTCTAACAGGAGGCACCCAGGAGGATCCTGATCAGATGTTGAACCACCTCAACTGACCACTTTCGATATGAAGGAGCAGCGGCTCTACTCCGAGCTCCCTCCGAGCCTGAACTCACTAATTAACTTGTTTTATCTTGTTAGTTTAATCTGTACAAAGGTGTAAAACATTTCGAGGGTCAGGTTATTTGCTGGATTATTACTTGGCTGGACAAAGCCTCCAGGAACGTAGTTGTAAAGCAATTTTGGCAGCTTACGCATTCCACGCATTGTGTAAAGGCCCAAGACGCATTTTCCTCACACAAAATCACTGGAAATGGCTGTAAGACAGTGAATATATATTTAAAGGCACCACAAACCCCCACGATGTGACTTAATATTATCAACAGAATCTTACCTTCTTGGGCCAATAACATTTGGTCTTGAAGAGCCGTACAATTAAATCATTTTATCCAATTCAGGTGTAGTGAGAAGTCACCAGGAAGTCAGCTGCTCCACGATGCATGCCCACTATACACTACTGTATGCAACCAGAAATTCACTGCCAGGCTTATTCACTGCAGAATGCATGCTGGGATACCTGGGATGCAGACCAAGCTGGCAGCGCAACGAGAGGGTGTGACAACTTTAAAAATTTAAACAGTGCTCACATCAAGACAGCCAATCAAGCTGCAGCCACAAGCAACCAGCGAGGCAGGGCGGACACGAGTTGACGCAAATTGGTCACCTATAGCCGACCTGCACTGTCAGAAGTCCCGAACGTGCTCTCAACTGGCCCGAATTTGTATTTTCTAGGATGGCAAAAGCATGACCCACCCCACTCTCCTTCTGATTGGCTAGTACTCATTGCCTTCTTTGGTTAGGTTTAGGCAAGGGCAGTAAGATTGGTTAGTGTTAGGTTAAGAATGTGACGGTAAGCCAATCAGAGGCAGAGTAAGGCAGAGTAGGGTGGATCGAGCCTTTTGCTATCTCAGTGAAGGCAAATGTGGCAACTGGCTCGGCTGGAGAAGGACTCTACTGAGCATGCTCTGTGGAAGAGGAAGACATGATGGCTTTTTTGAGGCTCATACGCCCTGTGAGCAGCTTTCATAGGAATGAATGGGACACCATCTTTGAACACAGTATCCAGTTCTCCTGACGACATCGATGGGTCAAGCGCTTAACCGTGAAGCTGCCAGGCAACCATTGGAGACTCCAAGTAAAGAAACAGTCCAGCACATAACCCTCCGTAAAACTACAACCACTCAGTCAAAATACATTTGAGCAGAGCCAGGCTAGCTGTTTCCCCTTGTTTTCTGTCACTATGCTAACTAAGCTAAACGTCTCTTGGCTAAAGCTTCATCGCACAGTACAGATGTGAGAGTGACTGGTATCGATCTTCTCGTCTAACTCTTGGCAAGAAGGCAAATGTCGAACTATTCCTTTCACCAGTGCTGAAACCCAAACGATAACTTTTGATTACTCCGTCTTTAGAACTAAGAATTAGTGATCGCACTGTGATGCCAGTGAACAAACTGCTTCATAGAATATGCTCCTTCAACATGAATCCTTCAATAGTGAACTAACTGAGAGCTCCTCATGGGATGTTTAGTAAAGGCCAGTTTGGTAATTAGTGTTTCATGTGGCCCAGGCACCGTCTCATAATATCGTCGTACTCCTCTGGACTAATGTCTGACACTGGGTGAGCTTTTGTTTAAGTGTTAGGAACTAAGGCACCTGTCTGGGAAAAGAAAAAGTGATTTAAAAATAATCCTCCTATAACCACGTGGTATTTTCTGGTCCTGGATTAACATCATATATAATATACAAATCCTTACAGTATATAAGGGTTATGTTACAGTATGTAATATTTTCATTCCAGCACAGAGACGTTAAACATGAATTCAATCACATTACATTCCCTTCCATGACAGTAGGCTACTATCTGACACAAACATGATCAGAGGACAATATCTCGGCTCTGTTTGGAATTGTACAATAAATATACAGTACACTGATGGGGTTTCTCTGTTGTGTCTGAGCGGTAAATTGGCAAAAAGTATTTACACGAAAAAGTGCACCGAAGCCGAAAGTCTGCCTGCCAATAGCACCATCACAGTCTTCCCAAAGACAGGAGTCCGACACTTTCAGCTCCCATCCCCCTCTGCTTCTAGTGAGGAGTCCTCCCCCTCCGTCTGTCTGTCTGTCCGTCTCCGGGGGTAACATCCTCTGCCAGCGATGTGTCCAGCACTTTGGATTCATTAAACAACAAAGGAAGACTAACAATGATATCAATAATTATTATTATAATAAAAATAACATCACCAACGAATAATCTTCCAAGTTCCACTTCACAGAAGTGAAATTTTAAAAACAGTTTGTGTCAGCGTTGCGGGCTGAGCAGTGGTTTGGAGGGCCGGAGGATCAGGTGTGATAAACAGGGAAATCCTTACTTCTCTCCTCCTCTTTCACCAGCGCCGATCTCTCCTCTTCTGTCTTCCACTGGTCCAGAGGGTTTTTTCAGTCTGCCCTGTTTTCTTCTTTTCTCCCTTTCAGTGCCGTGTCAGCCTCCCTCCATCTTTCTTGCCGTTCTGTCTCTCACTCGCTGCGTCTCATCAGGGTCAGTGCCCCTGGCAGGTCTTGCAGCACATTTGTCTGAAGTACGCACGGCTGCAGAACTTGAACTTGAGTACCAGCGGGCAGTAGGCCACTTTGTTTACGTCTTTGCACTCTGGAGAGAGAAAGAAGAGAGCTGGGTCACAGGGTGAAGACATTTAATACATTTTAAATTAAATTACAGAGTAACTTTTACATGTCTTCTCATGACCAAGACTCTTTTTTAAGAGGTGACCTGCTTTCAGCCCCAGTTTGTGCCTCTCATGTATCATCATTACATTCGAGCTACAACCCTACACTTCTGATCTTTTGGCAATATGTGAAGAAGATCCTTTAACAACACTTTAAACTAAGTCCACACTACACAATTTTAAAAGTTGTCAGTTTTTTGTAGAGTCGGCTCGGTGGTGCAGTGGTTAGCATTCTCGCCTCACAGCAAGAAGGTTCCTGGTTCAAACCCTGGGTAATTGGTGACTCTCAATTTTCCATGAGTGTGAATGGTTATCTGTCTCTATGTGAAAACCCTGTGATAGTCTGGCCAGAAAAGTGTTTTATGCAGAACATTATGATGTCACAGTGCAGTTGACCTTTGACCTTTTGGATATAAAATGTAATCACTTCATTATTTTATCCTGTTAGACATTTGTGTGAAGTTTTGACCTTGACCTTCGACCACCAAATTCTAATCAGATTATTCTTCAGTCAAAGTGGACGTTTGTGCCACATTTTAAGAAATTCCCTCAAGAGGGAGAAATCATGTTCACAAGAATGAGACAGACAAAGTCACAGTGACCTTGACCTTTCACCTATGACCACCAAAATTGGTAACATTTTACTTTAAGGTATCTACATGAGGGTCACATAACACTGTCATAACTGTGACATGACAGTGTCATGAACTTGTCATAAACATTATGTACATGTCAAACGTTTATGACTGCTGCATTAAGTGTCATTCGGTTTTTGTAATGACAAGTTGACATTGTTTGGGTTGTCTTGATTATGACAACTTGACATTAATCAAAGTGACATTACCAGAAGTTGTCTTTGTCATGATAAGTTGACATTAAATTTGTTTGGGATGTCCTTATAATGACAAGTTGACATTAACCAGGATGACATTACCAGAAGATGTCTCTGTATCAATCATTATGTCAACTTGTCATAAACACAAAAAGAGGTGCACTTCTTGTTAATGTCAAGTTGCTATGACAAAGACAACTTAGAACGCAATTTAATATCTGTTTAATACTATAACAGCTTAAGTATGAAAGTGAAAGGGAAATAAATTTAGCTCAAATCTACACTTGTCTACTGTAGCTGCAGCAGTGACAGTGTTTGCTGCAGCAGTGACAGTATTTGCTGCAGGTAGGACAGTGCTGAATAAAAAAGGATTAAACAACCTCCTGTGCAAATAATCCTACTTTTAGTTTATGGATGTATATAATACCTCCTGACTGCCTGCAATTAGTTACATAAACATCCCATAACTAACATCACTGGCTGCCACAGGCAGGAGAAAATATTTAAGACTTGTGAAGTGATATTAAGATTATTTCAATACCCTCTAACTTCAGGCCTTTTTAAAAAAAAAAAAAACTGAATGATTTTCAAGACCTGCAGGATTTTTTCAGTGTTTTATCTTTAATAGAAAATACTGATCTTGATGTTTTGCCTGTGTTTTATTAAAAGTGGAGGAACACATGTCATTTCTGTGTCCTTGATTAGGAAATACAGTCGAAACTTGGGAGTCTTTTTTTTTTTTGTTGTGCAACAAATGGAATATTTTCTCATCCAGATGGTTGGAGGAGTATTTTAAGGATTCTGGAAATACCTTCAGAAACAGTGGTTAAGTGCTTTTAAACAACCTTCTGGCTTTTACGAATACCGCCGGGTATTTATTTTTCAGAAAATCGGATGCTCGGCGCTGTGACTCACAGGATACACGAGAGGCACAAACCGGGGCTAACCTGCTACATGAGGACTGGTGCATCTCCCTCAGGCTTCAACTGAGTCAAACTCTGCAGCTATACTTGGACGCCGAGGCCGAAGCTGAGACAGATCCTGGCCTCGTTCACTAACTGGGCTTCCTGCCATCCCTACCATGCACACTCACACACATACACTCACACACAAACTGCTTGCTGGATGCCGGACAGGCAGTGCTCTAAATGCCTTATCACGATCAGAGTGTCTTCCCTTATTAGGCTTTGGCCCCTGCCTCCGCAGAGCCAAATGAAACGAGACGTTGCCTCACTGCTGTCCGTAAAGGAACAATTAGCCTACAGCTAATCCCATTAGCCAGCCTGTAAACGCTGCTCACGTTTTCCATTCAGGCTAATCGAAAGGCCCTTCTCTGTGCATCTGAATAGCCATCCATCATGTGTAAGTGTATATGGAGGGCTGAGCTGTTTCACTTTGACCAGGAGCCAACCTCACTGGAAAGATTAATGTAGCTGGCAAAGTGTAGAGGAGTGTGTCATCCAAGCGTGTTTAGGTCATAGTAGAACAGTGAAGATGAAGATAGAGACAGTTTATAACCTTTTCAATTGAGGCTTTGTGTGAGGAAATGCACGTGCACTACAATAGGTATTCACATCTGCCTTTGCATTTGAAGGAGCTGCAGTTTTAAATAGAAACCTGCTTGGTGACACGTTTTCTTTCCTGATAAAAAAGCTGCAGGGAGACAACCGGTCGAGCCAGCGCTATTAAACTGTGATGGCAGAGTCAGATGTGTGCGGTACATTTCCTCATCTTACCGTCGCCATTGGAGATGGGGGTGGCGTCACACTTGCTCTCACACTGCTGCATGGTGGTGGGTCGGAGGGACTCTGCGCACTCGTTAGACGGCTGCCCGGTGTACGACAGACACTGCACCGTCCTCATCTGCTGGCCCAGGCCACACTGGGCCGAACACTGCAACAGAAAACAAACTTATTGTCTCTGCAGGAGAAAGTTTAGAGGTTACGTCAGCTATATTTAATATGGTAAATGAGGACGATCTTTCCTCTGTGACCCTACATGCTCTAAGTCTTCCCTCTCTCATGCTTGCAGACACACACTCAGCCATTATGGGAAATCCCTGCAAACACACACACACATTACACAACTTGATCCAATCAGCCAATCATCGGGGCACGCAGGCAGAGAGCAAACAGAGTCACCTTCCCTTTTGTCTGATTCTACTGGCAGCCTGTCAGTGACTCTGAGTAACCAGGTCAACTGTTGCTCGTGAGGTTTTTCTCTGCACGAAAAAAACACAACACATTTTTGTGTATTTGTACGGTGAGACGGAGAAACAGACAGACTGAAAATCGCCTCTTGTTTCTCCTGAGGAATACCACTCTAATTTTTTTCAGACTAAGAGCTGCAGACAGTGTGCACGGCTGAAGGAGACGAGGGAGAATCATTTGAAGATGAAATTGTGAGGCCACGTCTGTTAAGTGCTGGCAGAGTGTGACAAAACCAGCAATACCTTTTTAATTTACACATCATCACCGCTCACTTTAATATGTTGAGCTTGTTAGCAAACAGCAAACAAATCCAGCAGATACAGAATAACATGATGATTCATTAGGAGTCTTTATGTTTGTGTAGTATTCACTCTCTTGTAGCTCTGTTTTTGGTCTCCACCAACTGCTCAGGGAAAAATCTGTCTCTTACACTGTTAAGTGTTTCACTATGTTCACCAGCTGGTCTCTAACTGTGTCTGCTGTTTGGTACATCTGTCAATGGAATACTCAGAAACATGAGGCGTGTAGCAACACAAAAACAGCAAGCAAAAAGCTTAAATCATTAAAAACAATTACAAATTACAAAAAGCCGCCTCCAGCTGCTGAAACGCTTTCTGTGTGATCAGGGTCTAACACTGTTTTTAGGTTATTTGCAAATTTCTCTAAATGTGTTATTTCTTTCTGTAAAATGTCAGTGAAAGAAGAATCATAAATTTTTTGTTTGTTGTAGTTTCAACATGAGTGCTGTGAATGACTCATTGATCATCTTCTGACGTTTAATAAAAATGATGATTGAGAGATTAACATGATGATGGTTTGCAGAAACGGGTGAAGTAATAGTAATCACCACAGTCATGTGTAATGACTTCTTGTCTGAGCTGGCACTGTTGGTGAACCTCACCGATGTGACACAGACGGTGATCTTGCAATTTGTTTCCCTTATTTCTCATTGGCCGGTCTAATGAGTGGTAGATCTGGCACAAGTATCGATATGCAAACAGATGTTTAAGGACGCTTCTACATCTAACCCCATATGTCGAACTGCAGGAGTGGAAAAGAGGCCTGTGCAAGTGCACCCAGCTCCACAGTGATTGAGATTTGACACACTTTGTGTGTACGCACAGATTTAGCCGTGAATCTACACAGAATTTTATGCGTCTGGGCCATGATGTTTTCAGGAACATCTTTTTTTCTAAGACTTCTAAGCGGATTTATGAACATTTACTCACAATAAAATCAGAGATTATGATATCTTCAGAAAGTATAAGTCACACTGAAACTACAAATATGTGAATTATGTCTCTGGGCTCAGATTTGACTGAGTTATGACTTGGAGATGGAGTACAAATTGTGGTGCAAAGTGCCCCAGACGGGTGCAAAAGTACTTGAATTAATTGTCCCATCAGTTGTGTGTGACAACAGCTGCTGCTAAGAGGCTAAACCAGCAGTCAGTCTTCAAAAACTGACTTAACCATTGTTTTCAGAACACCGAAATGTACCTTTTTCCAACTTCACCTTTTCTTTTGAAAAATGAAAAGTAATCTGACAAGCAGAGCTGCAGAAATGAGACAAAAACAAGCAAAAACAAAAAAAGAGCCAAAACACTAGAAGTAAAAAATATGAGAATATCCATTAAAAAAATAAATAAATAAAAACAAGGTGAGTAGATGGATTAATGGATTGAAAACAGGACAACATTAACTTTACTGTTTCATTTTGTTTGTTTCACAGGCCTGAGACATTATTTCTAATAAGCAGCTGCCATTTTTTTTTTTCAATTGTTTTTTGTTTCCCAGTCCTGCAGAGTCTTATTCAGGATTTATTTACAAGGATATCTCCAAAAACATTTGAGAAATAAATGTTAATGGGTCTTATTAAAAGATATCTAAAAGACGCCTCCTTTAGCGTATGTCATACTGGCTCCATTTTCGAGGAATAAAAGAAGCAAAACTTAATGAAAAATGACTCTATTGGATGGTCTGGCGTTGGCCACAGACCTAACGGAGAGAACATTTGTTGACACATGAAAAAGGTTCTTGTACTGGACCCAAATTGTGCACCTGACTCCTATAAATGTGCCAGTTGTAATAAAAAGTGAGACTGATTCTATGGGTGGCCATTAAACTGCTTTACAGACAAAATGACTACAAAAACAATTGCGTTAGATGCCAACGAGCCTCAAATGAAGCTTCGTAATTACTTTGGAAGCGTTGAGGAGTGGCCCACCTGTCAGCCATCACTGTGTCCGTGTACGAGTGTGTGATATGAACCCAGCCGTCACTCCCGCGGCTGATGAGAGAACTACCAGGCTTTCTGTCACCTTCAGTGATCCGCTCTGGCTGCCTCAGATCAGTGAGCCCGCATGTCATCCCTTCCCAATTAGAGAGTCTTTATTAGGACTCGCTGCCGGCCATGACAGATGGCGTACGTCAATGGTGCGACTTAAGTGGGATTTGAACCGGTGACCTTTTGGCCTTGGGAGACCAGGAGCTCGGTAGCTGGCAACAATCTCCCCTTTCTGACGCTTCAAGGGACCGGAGCAGCGAGGGCGAAGCTTGTAATTACAGCCAACAAAAAAAAAAAAAGGAGGAGGAGGAGGTGGAGGGTTGTACACACACACACACACACACACACACACACACGTGTAGTGCATGAGAAAGTGCTGTGTAAGAGCAGACTCCAGCTGTTGCTCCACGAGGTATTAACCTCGCTGAGGTTATCAGTTCGGCTTTGTTTATGACTGTTATTGGCTCTGATCGAATTGTAGAGGTGTTACTGATGTCTGTGAACGCACATGTGGCCATTATAAGAAGCAAAGGGAGCGCTGTGACCTGGACCGCCTGACTCTTGACCTTTGACCTCTGACCCGAACAACAGAAACCATGACATCACCTCCACAAGTGACCGTCTTCTAAACACCAGAGCGCACTGTTTAAAAATTCCACTTTCACACTAAATTATTAACAAATCCCACAAAATAACAAGCCATACTTTTTTTGTACACACAACTTTCTGTGACGCACGTTTTGCTGGCGTCGCCTCACCAACATGAGTCAGCTGTGTTGTAAAGTGTTCAACGGCTGTGCTGAGTGTACTAAGTCATGTCAGGGTGAGCCCAAGAATGCTACTCCTCTAAACCGTGTTCCTGGAAGTGATAGAGCGGCCTGCTCTCCGAGGCAGAGATAAACTTCAAACAGCCGGGAGGATGTTACTGCCACTGATCACACACACACTCCAGGCCTGCTGGAGCACTTGGACTCGCACACACAAACACAAAGGTCTACGCGTCACAGGCCTGCTTAGTGTGTCATCCAGGTATAAATTATATTAACCATTCACCAACACATGGGATCTGTCTGCGCATCTTTTGTCTGTTAAACATCCAAGCTATCCTTTTAAAGGATTAAGCAGCATATTGCTGTTTGGGACGCTCTCTAAAGTCATGTTTAAAAAGTGATGTGAGGGAGGTGCTGTCCTACCTGTCCCCATTCACCAGGGATCCAGCGAGGAGGAGGACAGCGTCCTAAGCTGCAGCGGATTCGGACCGGAGGTTTGTTGTGGCTCGGGCAGTGGGCGGGCGGGAAGGTCTTGGTCAGGTCGCTGCTCTTACACAAAGCGATGCGGTGCTTGAAGCCGGGGCCACATTTAGGAGTGCACTGAAGAGGGAGTAGAAGGTGTTAGAGGAACATCTCAACACCACAATGAGCCAAAGTTAGTTTCAGAATACTCTCTACAAACAGATATCTGCAAGGAGACATTCTGATTTCTGTTGGTCGTCCAAGTACACTCTAAGAAGTAAGGGTTCCAAAAGGGCTCCAAGAGTCGAGCTGAGATCGGCCAGTTCACATTGCTGCAACTTTTCTCTGCAAAGTTCTAAAACGGTTTTGTCTTGTCGCAAATCTTTGGTCCGAACCGGGCTCAACTTGAAAGATTTGTTGCCGAAATGTTTGCATCTCAAGTTACACATGGGACTGAAAGCAATGACCAGCACACAGAAGACAATCTCCCCAAATTTTGACCGTTGCTCCAGAGGCTTAGTCGTCATCAGACCAATAGCCAATGGGCTCCGAGACTGGTTTCAGAATCATCTTACCTCTGACCAATCCAGAGTGACCCACTTTGGCGGGCAGGACTGGTTGTTGCACGACTCTCGTTCGATTGGGCGGTGAGTCAGACAGTGGGTGTCCTCCAGTGTCTCCTCCTCAGCAGGGCCGATCTTCCTGATGCACAGGACGGTCCTCGTCCTCATCCCGCCATCACACGTCTTCCCACACTCTGACCAGTCACCAATAAACCACCTGGAAGAGACAGACATGAGTTAAATTACAAGAACCAAAGCTAACAGTGTGCCCAGCTCTTTGTGTACCAGTGTACTCTGTGTGTAAAGCAAGAATAAATATGTGTAATGACATTGTCACACCACAGCACCAAGCAAAATTTGAATGACTAAAAAAGTCGCCAAGTACATACATTTACGTTTCAAAATCATGAAGAAAAATCGCTGGGGGTATGTCCACAAAATGTGCTGAAGCCACACCCACTCGCGGGAAAGCTGCAGATTCTTTTAATTGTAGCACTAGAGTGGATGCTCCATCTAGCAGCTTCATTAGACTTGTACAGCCAGACATGTTTGAGCCAACAATTTTGGATTGAAATCGCATCAAATCTCAAACCCTTTTCAGAACCAACCATAATACATCCACTGCACTGAGTATCCAAAACTGTCAAGTATCAAAAGTTGCCACTGAATGTCTGATCAAATGAAGGATCTTGTTCCTGATCTGATTAAAAATTATGAATTAATAATAATAATTCTAGACTATTTTATTTGGGCAAAGTCCTAGTACAGCTGCTTGAGTTTAGACAATATTTATCATGTGAGAACTTACACATGCGTCGTTTTTTGCGCCCTCAAATCCATTGTTTTCAATGTAGACGCACGGCAGGCACGCTCAAAAGCCAGAGCACCTTGGGTATTGTGTCGGCACTATTATGGAAAATTCTGAAACTCTACCCAGCCCTACCCAGGACCACAGACCCTCAGGGGCCCGGAAAGGTTCACTTTGTGTAAACTGTTTTTTGGAAATTTGATTAATTGCAAATTTGTTTGGGAATACGCGCCATCAACGTACAATATAATCTGAAAATGTATGTTATAATCTATCTTTTAAACCTTTATCATTTCAGTTTTTGCTCTGGAGGTTTCCTGGCAGATTAAATTGACCCTGAAAAGGAATATTTGAGCTCTTGTGCAAATATACATGTTCACTTTCTTGCCAAGAGTTAGATGAAAAGATCAATACCGCTTTTACATGGATGAGGTTAGCTTAGCTTAGCTTAGCTTGTTTTTTGCTAAATTTTGCGCAATTGCCCCTTGGGGACATAAATAAAGTTGAGTTGAGCTGAGTAGCTTAGCATAGTGACTGGAAGCAGAGGGAAACAGCTGGCATGGCTTTCACTAAGATAAAAAAATTCACCTACCAACACCTGTAAACCTCGGTAACACCTTATTTCTCGTTAGTTTTATCTGTTCAAAAATTGTAATGTAACAAATAAGTTGCGGCTTAAGCTAGCTAGCTAGAGCTACCTCCATATTTAGTGCACAGACATGTGGTATTGATCTTCACATTTAAGTCGCAGAGAGAAAGAAAAGAGTATTTGTGTTTCCAATAATTTAAAGCTATAACTTTAATAGCATTGAAATTACGTGCACTATGATAGCAACCTCATCTCTGTGCTGCTCGACAAAGTATCGTACTAACATCTGAAATTGATATTGGAGACAACACCTGGACAAAATCTACCTTGATCTGAACATTTTATTTCAACAATCATTAAATCCTAAACAATGCAGATAAACTCTAATGACCTGGCAGACAGGTAATCACGGTGCCGGGCCGCTGAGCTTTTCACCTCCAGAAGATTACACTAAGTCTTTTTCAGCTCTCTGTCGACAGACTTCAGAATTAATATCATAAAACTGCCGAGACAACAGCCCTCCAAACACATCCAGCCTGTGAGATATTACATCATCTGCAGGAATGTATACAGAATTAACGACGTGTTCAAACATCTGTGTTAGCTTTCATTACTCGGGCCCATAAAACCCCAGCTATTTCTAAAACAATTGTGTTTACGTGGGCTCCTTTGGTCGGCCTGTCCTGAGGCTGCAGACGGGGTGTTTGCCTCCCTAACACACACACACACACACACACACACACACAAATGTCATGTGTGCACTGTAACTCAATACACACACACATGCACTGCAACAGCCTTCAAGCACTAATCAAAATAAATGAGATAGCACAAGTCTGCGTCCACTGAATACAGATGTGAAAATAAATAACCCCAGACTGTATTTTCAATGTATGAAAACAAATTACCACTTATACAGTAGATTTACGACACTATCAGTTTTTCTGTCTCACACACAAATAATTGTCAGATCGTCTGAAACTAATTAACCCGACGCATTTAATCCCTCTTTTTCCAGACGTCATTGAAGTGAGTCTGGCTCATGCTTCCAGCTACAGCGTGGGGTTTACAGACACTTGGCCACCAAACACAAGTTCATATTCCACCTGTATACGTGTATGTTACCCCTCGAGGATCGCTCAAGAAGCCAAAACAATCAAACACAGGTGGTCATTTTCAAGGGCTCTAATTTCTGGCACGAGGCAAACACTGAAAATAGTTAACATATGAAGTTATAAATCACAGCCATTTTATGATTTTCTTCCAAACACATTTCACAGAGTAAGGCTCATTGAAGGCGAATTAATATTGCGAGGCTCATTTTTATGGAGGGTTGAAAACTGTAAATTAAAGGAACACTTCACGCCCCAGATGATCATTTGTGTATCAGTTACTCACCCCCTGTCACGCTGAATTCATGAGGAAAACTTTGTTTTTCTCGCATGCCTCCGAGACAATTCTTGATGAATTAAAGTCATAGGGGTCCACTTTTAATGACATTTTAATAAACAAACCATGCATTTACAAGCTCTTACACAACTCATACATTATAATCAAGATCTTATTTATCCAGTTGTATGTTCAGAACTTTACAAACAGACAGCCATTTCTGTCAGGGAACCAAACTAAAAGTGTAACTTATCTATGCTCTCTTCAAAGCCAGACTCCATTGACAAAAACAGTAATTTTACCTCGCTGAACACAGGAGCTGCTGGTCTACTGCTGCCTCGATCAGTTAGCTAGTTTGTGTTATTGTGTGACTTTGGTGAATCCGAACGAACCCGTTAAAAGACAGAAGTCACACAAAAACACAAACAAACTAACTGATCAAGGCAGCGGTAGACCAGCAGCTCCTGTGTTCAGTGAGATAAAATTACTACTTTTGTCAATGGAGTCTGGTTTTGAAGAGACCATATATAACTTACACTTTTAGCTCAGAAAGGTCTGTCTTTTTGGGAAGTTCTGTGCATACAGCTGGATAAATGAAACATGGATTATACTGCATGAGATGTGTGACTTTGTAAACATTTGTCTTGATATAGTTTTACTGGACCCCTATGACTTCAATTCAGCAAGAATTTTCTCAATTTTTAGAGTCATCCTTCATCGTGGAGGCACGCAAGACAAATTCAGCGTAACATGGGGTGACAAATTGATATACAAATGATCATTTTGGGTGTTGGATTTCCTTCAAACCTGGTATGCTCAACATTTTTTATATTAAAATGTATCAAAAGTCTATGTTTAATGTGTAGAAAACCTACAAACAATTACCACCTGACACAGATCTCCTAAGCTCTACGGAGCGTTTTATCATCTTTCGGCTATTTATTTTACTTACAAGTCTACTTACAGTCTCACATCTGTCATCAGTATTGTATTCAAATGAAGCAGGCAGATGTTTTCGGAAAAAAGTACCCCACTAGCCCAGCATCAAACAAGAGATGACGATAGAGAGGAGCTGGTGAACACTGTGGAGCATTTAGGAGGTGGTGGAGACCAAAAACAGAGCTAAAAGAAAGTGAATATTGGACTTACATTCACAATGTAGACTCAAACATTACTCTAAATGAATGCTAATGTTGCTCTGTATCTGCTGAATGAGTCAATAGGCAACTGTTCATCTTAAAGACCCCTTGTGATTAAAGTATTAAACCTTGAAAACATATCCACGATGTGTTTTCATATGCTACAAGACATATCATGAGCAAAAAAGGCAGGCATCACCATGGGTGGGAATTTCTTCCTTGGGAACAAACCTCCAGGGTTTGTTACGTCACAAAGCTAAGGAACCAACACCATCAACTTGCGGGGCATCAGAGTAGAAGTCAGGTAAAGATACGTGTCTGTGTTTTGTAACATAAGTTTCACTTTCACTTCAATTTGTCAGAAGTGGCAATAACAAACAAGGTTTATCTAAGATTAGCAACATATTATTAGCTAAAGGCTCATCTTATTTATCACTGTCTAAAAGCAGAAGTTTGTGTTCGATGAGCAAAGCCGATGACGGGCAGGAACAATTGAGCTGCAGGATCTGTGAATATCGCAGATCCATGCATACTAAATGAGACAAAGATGTAGAGTTACATCTAAGCCATTTTAAGGCATTGAGTGATTCTTTGTCATGAAAAAAACTTGTGTATGTGTAATTTTGGTGAACAGAGATGAGTTGTTAATCAATGCCAGGAGAGGAAG